AATATAAACAATGAAAAGGAAAATTAATTTTCCAAATTGAAAGACCCTTACAATAATGGAAAGCACGACAGTTTAATGAAGTGATCAACGCTGATACAGAGAAATGACGAAATGAATTCTAAACACTAAACACTCAATTTCGAGAATTCAATTCGTATGAAATTTCGAACTCTAGAAACTATAACGTGATGTGGCCCATTCTACGCACCTGACTTGAACTCGTAAATTCGTTATGAAACAGCGCGGCCATTCAGAACAGGCCAAAGTTATAGGGGCATTTCAAACTGTGTAGAGAAACTAATTCAAGTTTTCGACTTCTTGGTATAAATATACATATATATAGCAGTTTATATGTATCTAAGTTGGAAAACCTTTTAAATAAACCATCAACAGATTTATGATTTAATAAATCACAATATTGATATTCTCAGAAAGCATTCAGAAAAATTTTTATCCGCACAAACTTTTATATATTTCTATTTTTATCTGTTTTATAAGTAGTTTAAGTCAATGGTTAGGTCAGACACATGGAATAATTTATTTTTACTCAAAAATAAATTTTTTTTTATACTTATTTCTCTATTTACTGAACGGAAAGTTTTTTTTTTTCTTCTTCTAAGAAAATTTTGATTCGATTTTTTTATTGTGAGAATTTTATATTTATCGTATATTTTTATTCTTAACATTAACAATATAATAATTATTATATAAATAAGAATTGTTATTGCTAATAATAAAATTAGTAATTAAAATTACCATTGTTTTGAATTTTTTCTACATCAATTTTAATCTACTTTAAGTAGTTTAAGTCAATGGCTAGGTCAGACTGAATAATTTTTAATTAAATATTAATAAAATTAATTTTTTTAGCCTTATTATTAATATTATTGCTAAGTTTATATTTTATCGAAATTTTCCATTTTATTTTAAGTAGTTTTCTATTTTATTATTTCTATTTTAAGTAGTTTAAGTCAATGACTAGGTCAGACGCAGACTAATTGTTAATTAACGATTAATAATTAATTTTTATAACATTATTATTGAGTATTTATTTTTGTCTAACTTTTCCATTTCCATTTCATCTATTTTAAGTAGTGTAAGTCAATGACTAGGTCAGACAATGAATAATTTTTAATTATTAATAATCCTTTTTTCAGCATTATTTTTAATATTATTATTCAGTATAAATAAAAAATGAATAAATTTTTAATCACCACTACAATCATTATAAAAATTCCCTTCGATTGTAAATTCGAAAAGTTACGTTCTTAATTTTTGCGTCAACATTTTACAATTACAAAAAAAAAAGTGGCCAACAATATTGGGATTCTTAATAAAAAGTTATGATTAAAATTACTTGCTGTGTAACTTGATTTTCGCGTAGCCTTAGAAAGTAAAGATTTAAATGTCAGAGATGCAGGCTAAATTGGTACCATCACTGTAACGAATTTCATTAGTCAGTGCTAAATTACTATGTAACTAAGTTAGTCTCAAGTTTCCGTGTATTTAAAAGCAATAATCAGACAGATGAGAACGATAGAGTGAAATGAGGTAGTCATTCCTCTCCGACGAATTATATTCTAATTCAATTTCTTTACTAATAATAATGCTTCGAATACTAAAACCTAACTATCAGCTATTGTTTTTCCTATTCTAATTAATTAACTAATTATTCTCTAAATTTGAATTAGAGTCTTACTTTTTGCTTTTTAAATTTCAAAACTAATTCACAAATTAATAAAAAATGGTAAAAAATCAAAATTTTTAAAATTTCACATATAAACCAGGGTAAATAAATTTTTTTTTTTTGTAAAATTTTTTTACGCTTGTAAATAATGAAACGAAACGAAATTATCAATAGAATATTAACTACATCAAAATCAGAATTAGTATTCTTTTCTAATTGACTAAAAAGAAGTAGCTAATGAGTGAAATTTCACTCGTGCCTCGAGGGGCATAAGGTAAGTGACACATAGTCTATAAAGTTATAGTGCATGCACAGTTCACCACAAGGCTAATCATTACCGAGATGATAACCGTACTAAATGAGTCTCTCTCGTCTGCCAAAGTTTGTAACTAAGCACACTAGCGGCAACGCGACGAACTTCCATAATTATATGGATATTTATTACGCAATTATCAACTTACTTTGCTTATGTATTTTGCCACAAGGTATGTGCGCTACACTCGCAAATCTACATAAACGTATGTAACTCTACTTATAACAAATTCAAAATATACAACGTTAAACATAGAACGCAATATTTGTACTCATTTATTTTTATATTCAAAAATTAAAAAAAAAACAAAATTAAAAATATTCAAATCAAACGAAAACAAATAAATAGCGAAATTTTTACCTGTTCCAGGTATAAATTTTTTTCCACAGCTAATATTGTACTTTTCAAATTGAAAAAAATTATCTTATGCAACTCAGGCGCATACTAAGTTGCCTCTTATAATCCAGCGGTCAATAAAGTGACCATTATTGCCCTAGGGCAATAATAGACACCTTATTGACCTCTGTGCTATAAAAGCGAACTCAGTATACTCCCATTATTACCCTAGGGCAATAATGGTCACTTTACTGACTATTTAATACATTGAAAAAATTTTAAAACTCAATATTACTAAAAAAAACTAAATTCTAATCAGGGTTGCTACGCTTTTCCTCATTTCAAATTCCCTGACTTTTTCAGGTTTTCCAGGTTAAAAAACGAAATTTTTCCAGGTTTTTAAAACTACATTTGTTGCCAACAAAAATTTAATTTTGTTTTTCCCTGACAAAATTAAATTCCAGACAAAATTCTTACTTTTTGACTCTAAAGAATATTCTCAATCAGTTTAAAAATTATAACTCAGAAAAATACAGCTTCTTTTTTAAATAAATATTTAATTATTATTTTTCGATAAGAATTAAAATTCTCCAAAAGATTCAAATTCAAACCTTTTTGAAATTAAACAATTTTCAAAAAATTGTTATAAAACATGAAGATATCGATCACTCCGAGTCTTCGACTCGAAGCAATCGATATCTTCATGTTTTATAAATTACAAATTATTCTCATTTCAATTCAATTATTTTCTAGAATTTTTAACTAAAATTCTTCTTTAAATTAATTATTCATTCATTTTTAATAATTTTTGAAAAATTTCTTTGAAAATTTTCAAATCCTTTTGTTTACAATTCAATTTTACGAAATTTCATCGATTATTCGGAAATTCTTCAATTAAATATATATATTAGAAAATAAAAACTTCAAATAATTTCAAAAACGTTGCATTAAACTTTAAAAAAAATTAAATCTACACAATTTTCAGTTAAAAGTATGAAAAATTCAAACTTTCAGAGATTATAATTTGAAACCTTTTCAAAATTTAATTATTTCTAAAAATTCACGCATAATACTTTCTCTTTAAATTTGAATTAGTAAAAATGTTTACTATTTTGGAATTAGTGACTGACTTTTTGCTTTCGAATTAGTAAATTTTACTATTAAATTAGTAAAAACGACTATTTATTGGTAAAATTTGCTAATTCAAAAGCAAAAAGTCAGTCACTAATTCAAATTAGAAAGCATTTTTACTAATTAAAATTTAGAGTTTAATATTCAATTATTATCTAAAATTTTAACTGAAATTCATATTTAAATCAATTTTTATTAGAAAATTCTACGAGTATTCAATTATTTAAATAAAAAAATAAATAATTTATTGAATAATTAAATGTTTCTTAAAATTGAACTCTCATAAAGAATTTTATCAACAAATATTTAAATAATTAAAATTCTTTTGACGAATTTTAATAAAATTTTTAAGAATAATTTCCATTTTCGAGAAATTAGATGAAAATTGCATTAAAAATAATTGAATCTCTATAAAAAAAATTTGATTGAGTTGAGAAAAGTTTTTGAAAATAATTGAAATGTTGCCAAGAATTTTATTAAATTTTTTTTTGAAAATAATTGAATTTTGAAGAATAATTTTATTATTTATAAAGATAAATTGAAATTTTGACGAGAATTTTTTTAAACTTTTGACCATAATTGAATTTCAGTGAAGAATTTTATTACTTTTGAAAATAATTGAATTCTTGAGACGAATTTTAATGATATATTGCTTTTTAAATAATTGAATTCTTTTGTGAAATTTTATTGAAATACGTAGATATTAAAAATAATTGAATTTTGATAAATTATTGAAATTAATTTAATTCTGCGAAAAATTTTATTAAAATTATTTTGAAAAAAAATTGAATTGTTAAAAAGAATTTCATTAAAATTTTTGAAAATAATACATAAAATATAGAAAGGCTTTTTAAAATAATTGAATTTTTTTTTTTGATGAATTGTAATAAAATTTTTAAGAATAATTACAATTTTTCGAGAAATTCCATTAAAATTGTATTAAAAATAATTGAATCCTGCGATGATTTTTATTATTTATGAAAATAATTGAAAACCTATAAAAGAAAATAGTTGAATTCCTGGTAAAAATATTATTCTTCATGAAAATAATTGAATTATTGCAAAGAAATTTATAAAAAAAATTTGTAAATAATAGAATTCCTGTAAAATTTTTAGTTTTTAATTCATTCATTAAAAATTGAAATTTTCTAAAATTTCAAATTAAAACCTTTTGAAGTTCACCTATTTATGAAAATTGTAAACGCAACTCTTTTAAAATTGAATTAATTTTGAAATATTTAAGTAAAATTAGATTTCAAGAATAAGCACAATAACTTTAGAAAACAATAATTTTCCAGGATTCCGATCAAAATTCCCTGACTTTTTCAGGTTTTTTCAAGGTTTATAAAATTCCCTGACATTTCCAGGGTTTGCAGGTTTTCAGGTTGCGTGGCAACCCTGATTCTAATTTAAAAATCCAATTTAATATTTTTAATAAATTGTAAAAGCGAGAAATAAATGTTAAGACTATGTCAAACAGAGTAGGATTTAAAAAAATGTTTCTTTTTTCTTTGACTTACCGGTCGATGAATTCTCGCGTTGAGACGATGCGGAACTCCTTTCAAGCCACTCCTGCGAAAATCCTTGTCCTGTTGATTGAACTTTTGCGTCAAATCGTTAACTGAAAAGCAGAAAAAAAGTGTTCTTAGAAAAATTAAATTAAAGAATAATATTTAAATCTGTAAACATTACTTACTGTTTTAGCTTATTATACTTGCAAAAAAAATTAACAAACTAAAATTTGCTATTTAGAAATTACCAAAAACAAAAAAAATTCCAATTGCTTTAAAAATAAACTAAATTATGAAAAACTGTTTTAAAATTTGCATTTACATAATATTCATTCGTATGACTATCAAAATTTGAAACGCGATCAACCAATGAATCAAAATTAATTTTAGTCATTAACGTATTAACTTTCAAAATGTAATCCCCTGTATTGGAAATCAATCCTCTCGGATGAGTTTTCAAACTTAACGTAATCCCGATGCAGTTCGAGAACTTAATCGCATTAAAGGCTTCTCAAATATCACTGACTTTTTTTTCCTTTTTTTTTTAATAAAAAGTGTCCTCTAAATATCGAAATGCATTCCGATATGAATTAAATCTGCAAATAGTTAAAACGAAAATCGATTTCCAGCTGTAGTGGAGTAGCTAAAAGGCGAGCTTTTTAAAACTTCTCCAAATATGTTCTCAAAAATAAAAAAAAAAAATGTTTCTCCAGATTTTAAAAGCTTTTTTTAAATAAAAATGCCAAAAATTTACTCGTTAATTAATTTAGAACTCTTATTTATTTTTTACTGTTTAATGAAATGTATTAAATTAAATTTAACTAATCCTAATTAGTATTAATTCTTACTATTTTTTATTTTATTGTCTGAATTTTTTATTCTTTTTAACATTTATTTTATTAAATATTTAATTGATAATAGTCAAGTAATTGATTATTATTTGAATCACATAAATTTTTGTTATACAGAACTTTTCCAACTGAACTTAAAAATTTTATTTAGTTTAATGTATAAATTCTAGAAATGTTAAAAATTGATAAACATAAATTTGAAAATTTTTATAAACATAAATTTTAATTATTACGTGTAAATCAGAGAACGAAAAAAAAAGAGAAGGTGACAAACAAATTTTCTCGTTAAAATTATGGATGTTGTTAAATTACTCGTTTCATACAGAATTCCCAGTTCTCACTCCACAAATGTTTTCACAAGCACAACTGCTAGTCGCGAGAGAAATAAATTATATGAACTTGTGGTAAAGTTAAACCCAACTATTCTGGTGGTTTCTCGATAGGATTCACACTTCTCCCACTCTCTCTCTCTCTCTCTCTCTCTCTCACTCTATCCTTAACCATTCCTGTCTTCAAAAACCGTCGTGTAATAGAAAATTTATTATACATAATGCAAACATTGTGGAATCACGCAAGTAACATAACCCACTTGCGTACTTATTACTACGACTTGGCCAAAGTTTCAGATTGTATTGTCTGACAATTTCGACCCTCTCTGTAACTTGCAGTTCTCTCTCTGTGTGCCACTGTGTATACGTTACTTAAATGTCAAGTTTCGATTTAATTACTCAGTTAATTATTAAATTAGTCAAATAATCAACAACTATTTACAAATATTTAATATTTAAAAAGGAAAATATAATTTACATTTTATTTATTTATCGCATTTTTATTTGGACATAAATATTTCTTTATTTGTCGAAAGTTAATTCTTTAACGAAAAAAAAATTACCATAATTTTTGTAAATAATTTCCATAAAAAATTTCTATTCTACTTTCATTTTTTTCTAGTTAAAATATTTACTAAATAGTCAACGAAAAAAATTTTTCCAGGTACTTTAATTTCTTTTGTAATTTAAAATACTTTGTAATAATCGTAAGTTTCCTTTCCGTTAGCAAATTATCTGCATTCATTTGTTTGTTTTGAAAATTAATTTTTGTGGGTTATTGTCATTTTTTTAATGTCAAAAAAAACCCAAAAAAAACTCGTTTTATTCACTTCACAAAATTGACAAAAATTCCATTCCATATTTTTTATTTACCTGACTTTCTCCTAATTTTCATCAAAATTATTTACTTTTTTCTTATTCTGCTAATAAATTGAATTCCTGCTACGAATTTTATTATTCATGAAAGAATTTATTTCTTGCCAAGAATTTTATAAAAAATTTTAAACGATTCATTTTTTTCGAATAATTTTAAGTAAATTCTAATTTAAATAATTGAATTGATGAAAAGTTTTATTATTCATGAAAAGAATTGAATTCTTACGAAAATTTTTACAAACCATTTTTTAAATAATTGAATTCTGTTTGAAAATTTTATGAAAATAGTAGATATTGCAAATCATTGAATTGCGAAAAGTTTTTAAAGGTAATTAAATTTTACAAAGAATTGTTTTAAAAAATTTTGCAATAATTGAATGTTTGTGTGGTATTTTATTAATTTTTTTTTTTTGAAAATAATTGAATTCCTAAAAAACATTTTATTATTTATGAAAATAATTGAATAGTTGCTAGGAATTTTATTATAATTCTCCAAAATAATTGAATTACAGAGAAAAATTTTATTATTTTTAAAAATAATTGAATTATTGCAGAAAAGTTTATTAAAATGTTTAAAAAGAATTGAATGTCTGTAAAAATTTTTATTATTTTTGAAAGTAATTGAATTCTTCATAAGAATTTTACAAACATTGTTTTAAATAATTAATTTTTTCGAAATATAATAAATATTATGAAAATTTTATTAGTTTAAATAATTGAATTCTGGTGGAAAACTTTATTTGTAAAAATAACTGAATTTTTTTATTATTAATTTAAAATAGTAATAAAAATAATTGAAGTTCATCGATAAGTTTTATTATTTATGAAAATAATTAAATTCATGCTTAGAATTCAATCAAACATTTTTTAAAAAAATTGACTTCATGAAAAATTTTATTATTAGTGAAAGTAATTGAATTAATGTGAAAAATAAATTGCATAAAATTTTGTTAAATAATTGATTTTTTCAAAATTTTTTTCAAAATTAGCGAATTAAAATTAGTGGAAATTCTCTCAAAAAAAAAATATTAAATGAATTATTTATATAAAATTGATTTGAAAATAATTGAACTTTAGGGAAGAATTTTGTTATTTATAAAGATAATTGAATTTTATAAGAAGAATTTTATCACTCTTGAAAATAATTGAATTTCTGCAATTATTTCTAATTATTCCAAAATTGGATTTTTTTAGTTTTCTCAATAAAAATTTGAATTACAAATTTTTAAATTCTATTATTTTTTATATTGCTAATTTTATCCTAAAAAGTTAACCTAGTTAAGTCCTAAAAAGTTGCTACTTTACAATAATGTTATTGAATAATTGTAGCTTAAAAAAATTTCTGTTTTCTTTTATTTATTTTTTATATTTGCTTCTCGAAAAAATAAAACACCATTGTAATTACTTATTTACGAGAATTTTCGCTACATGCTTTTAATGTACACGCTCTGAACCGAATTCACGAGCAACTGATGTTGGATTTTACACTTATTTAACTATGCTGTTTATTTTTCAACACACAATTCAAAATGAGTTTTGCTTGTAAATGTAAAATTCCAGTTAGTTTGCTGCATGATAAAATTAAATATTTTTCTCCTCGCAATTGAAACGCAAATTAATCTTTACGCTATGTTAGGAAAAAATATTTTTACCATTAAAATTTTTTCATATTTTTAATTTATGGAATTTTTAAAATTAAATTAATATTAGTGGTGAATAAAATTTTGTTTATCGTAAATAAATTTTTATTTGTAGTTCATAAACTTTTATTTACATTAAATCAATTTTTATTTATAGTAAATGAACATTCATTTGTAGTAAATAAAAATTTATTTATTGTAAATAAAATTGTATTTATATTAATAAAATGTTGTTTTGAATAAATAAAATTTTATTTATATTAATAAATTAATGTTATGAATAAATAAAATTTTATTTATAGTAAAGAAAATTACAATAATATTTTCAGTAAAGAAAAATTTATTTATAGTAAGTAATAAAAAAAATACAGGTAATTTTTAGTAATAGATATATTTAAAAGAACTGTTTCCGGAAATATTGAATAAACGATAACTAAATACCAGAGGTAAGTAATTAAATATTCAATTTAAATTTAAACGTGAATATTATTTTAACCGTATCCAATAAACCAATAGCTAATAAATAAAACATTTTTCTGTAAATATTAAAAATTGTTTGAAAAAAAAACAACTTCTCATAAAAAAAACAATACAATCGACTACATTTTTATTTCAATCGCATAGAAAAATTGAGAAGTACTATTTTTCCTAAAAAAAAAACCCAATCGTGAATCCCCAGGAAAAAAGTCAATACTCGAGAGTATTTCTAAAAAACATTTTTTTCTCTTTTTCCTTTAAACTGATCTTTGACTATACTCTTGTTTTTTGGTTTGTCGTTATCCGAGCAAATACACGAGGATATCTAAGACTACCGTGAGATTTATAGACGCAGGTGGCTTTCTAACAGAATTACCTGAACAGGTATTGGAAATTGTGCGAGTGTGTTCGCCTTTAGACACACGATACCATCCCGACAAATTTCCGGCTTTCGATTTAGAGAAAATTAGTTTTCTGTCTCCCTTCTTTTTCCTTGGAAAACTTAACTCTGACCTTAATCTATTTCTTAGGATTCCCTTACCTTTTCCTTATTTAAAAGAAAATCTCTCCACTACCATTTCCTCCATTAGAAAAATTCTCTCTACTCTCCACTATATATTTATATCACTTCACGAATAAATTTCACTTTAATATTTTAAATAATAATAACTTATAATAATAACTTTAATATTTTTAATATTAACTATTATTTCCATTCTAATTAAAACTAAATATTTTAAACTGTATTTTTTGATCATTTTTATTAAATAAATTTAATTAAATTTTAACTCTGTTAAATTTAAATTTTATAATTTTTAATATATTAAGAAATGTGAAATTTATTTAAATTCCTCATATATGTATTCAACAATCAGATTTAAAATTTGAAATTTCTCTTTTCACAATAAAGAGACGTCCCACTATTGTATGGAGGACA